CCCCCCCCCCACCCACACACACACACACACACACCTTATCAATCATAAGGAACACACAGGGGCTGCCGATAGCCAGCAGGGAGCCCCAGAGTATTCTGGGAGTTTGGGGAGTGGGACTTCCCCTGACCCTCGTGGAACGGTTTCCTCATTCCTGAACGAGGCGACAAACAAACAATGGAAATTCCAAGTGTCATAATCACCAGGGGGGGGGTTAAATACCATGGCCAGGGAGGCAGGGAGTGTTTTCCTGCTGCCCTGACCGCGTCGCCCTGACCGCGTCACTCTATCTGCGTTGCCCTGACCGCGTCGCCCTGACCGCGTCGCTCTGACCGCGTCACTCTATCTGCGTTGCCCTGACCGCGTTGCCCTGACCGCGTCACTCTATCTGCGTTGCCCTGACCGCGCCACTCTATCTGCGTTGCCCTGACAGCACATTTAGCAAGCAGTCAAGCAGCTACTCAAGGTTTCCAGCATCATATTTGGTTCTAGACCCTATTATTTGTTTCCAACCCCCCCCCCCTTGAAAAACACTTTTTCTAGACGCATTTACCAATTTATCCCATATTTTTCTATACATTTCATACCCCCATGTGGTCCCATATTTCACCTGGGGGCAGAACCCACCTAAGGGTCAAGTCCTAGAATTGGCCCAGACCAGCAGTAACCTTGAAATGAGGCTTCATTTGCCGTTAGTACTGGTACACTGGAATGTGTGGGTTGTCACATATCCCATCTCGCTCACACACACACACACATAGAGGGGAGGGTGAAGCTTGGTGTCTGAGCACAGGATCAGTGTCCAGTCAGGCCCCCTGGAGCATTTTGGGGGGGGGGAGGGCCTTATTCAAGGGCCCAATGGAGATGCTACTGCTCCGCCGAGGATGGGATTCAAACCGGTGACTGTCCAATCACAGCATCGTTCCGATTACCCCCCCGAGCCACACAGCCTGCTAAGAGGAGGGAAGGCTGCACTCGTTTAAGTGAGGAACTAAAGCATTTGGGCTGTAGTGCAATGGGCCTCTACGTTACAGCAGCCCTCCGGAACCGGACCGGGTTCCGGAACCTCCAGAACTCAGACCAGAGAGATGAGACATCCTGCCCCGTATCTCTGCACAGAGCGGGTGGATTTATTGACACCTCTCCACCCCCATGCGGGAATGCTGCCTCATTCAGCTTTTAATCAACCAGTGAAAGCACCCCCCCCCCCCCCCACCATATGGGAGAAAGGTCCTCTGGAAATCAATGCAGTCCTCGTGCTCTAAGAGGAATCCACCTTCCAGGGAAGATCCAAATGGGGGGGTCTGGGGGCATTTTGAACCTGCTGTGTGCTCAGTCTGATGAACATCGCATAACTAACTGGGAAAGCAGCTGGAGATAGGTACCCCCAACCCCACCCCCAACCCCACCCATCCCCCCATCCCACTTCTGACGCCACTGAACCCATTAATGATGAAGAAGCAGGCCAGAGGGTTTTTTTTTAATGATATCACAAAGCAAAGATGAAAATTAGTACATGAGCAAATTAAATATAAGACATTTGGGAAAATCCAAATAGCTCATTTTTAACACGGCAAGTTAGCATGATGATATAAATAATATCCCCTAAAATAATTGGCAAATTATTAAATCTTGCAGGAACAATAAGGCAAAATTTGAACATCTCATAATTACATATTTGTTTTTTCCTAATATGCGGATCAGTGTTTTGCAGCTTCAAATAATCGCAGTGTCCGTTTGATCAACATCTAAAGGGATATCCCCTTCGGCCCCGCTCTCTGACACCATCTTATGGGCTGTCAGACAATGGCAGTGCTCTCTTCTGTATTACAATCATACCAGTGGGTTAGAGCTTGCTTAGTAGGACTTAGGAGCACGGGAGACATGGCAGAGAAGGTTCTCCTACAATTGTATAGGCTTTTGCATTTGAGTGGTGGACAACATGCTTGCATATGTAAAGGTGGCTTGGTGGTTAGAACTGTTGCTTCGCACCAGTGAGGCCAGGGTTTGAGTCCCCATCCCCCGAGTTCTGTGTTTGTAGAGTTTGCATGTTGTCATCGTGGGCTTTCTTTTGGTTTACCCCCACCAGTTCAAAAACATGCTGAAGTGAATTGGAAATGCCACATTTTGAGTGTGTGTCCTGTGATGGGTTGGTGCCCTGTGATGGGTTGGTGCCCTGTGATGGGTTAGTGCCCTGTGATGGGTTGGTGCCCAGTGATGGGTTAGTGCCCTGTGATGGGTTGGTGCCCTGTCCTTTTTTGTGCCCACAGCTTCCGGCATGCGCTCCAGACACCCACAGCTCTGCATCTGACAAGCAAGTATAGAAAATGTATATATATATATATGTCATCATGTAGGGATTCCATGTGCGATTTTCCTTACAAAAACACCTAATAAGGGTTCTTCGTGTTACTGTCGTGATTTAATACGTTTTGCGCGTAGTTAATATTTATTTTTTATTTTTCCTAACAAGTGCTGTCCAGGGTGCTGAATAGTCAAACAAATCCCATCAGCCCACCCCGTCACAATGTCAATGACACTACAGCAAACGTCGCTTCTTTAAGAAAAATAAGGCGGCAATCAACTTCATAAATAACGACGAATACCGCTGACACAAGAAGCTGAGTGACGTAACTTACTACCTTTCCTACCGCTTTATCGGTGTCTAGTGCGTGTTGTGAACGATCGGTGTGTTGGTTGATAAATGAACCCGAAGGATCAAATTTTCCATAGAGGAGATCGAATGTCATTTGGGTAACCGCAGCTTCTGTTTACCAAAAGCCCAATATTTGCTGTGGTATTTTAAGTGTTTGCATTGTGGGTCTAAAATCATATGCCAGGATCATCGTGGATTCCGCATCAGACACCCATAGTTACTCACTACCACAAGAAACACGGGGCCCATCTTAAAGAATGTCCAAATAATACACTCCTACAGAATCCAGTATGACACAAACAGTGTCTCGAGTAAAGAAAATAACCTGCGCAAATAAAGCCATATTTAATAGTGACATGATGGAAGGCCGCTGACTTTTCCTTTCTAGAGGGGGCATACATATGGGAGATTCGAAAATGAAAAGATTAATCGGGACTAAGGGCGCGGCGGCAGTGTAAACGGGGACTCTCGTACTGCAGTCACGTATAATGCTATCAGCCCCCTATTAATCACTGCTCACCTTGATTGTGAGGGGCGATTTTAAATCAAAACAAAAGGAAGACATCGCTGAAGCGATCAGCTTAAAGAAATCCGCCAGATTAAATCATCCTGCATTGTAAGCGGACACAATGCAAGTGCAGGTATAGTGACAAAGTTACTCAATCGAGTCAGGCTGTACTTCAGACGAGTGTCTTAAAGCAATTATCCGGACTGGTATGCAATATGTGTATTCTAATAAAACGATCGGGACCGGAATGATATGCGAATTATGGGTCATATGGATGGATAAAAGAGGAAATATCTCGAGATATTATATTTCTCAGAATCAACGGTTTAATAACACTGTATGCTGGATGCCAGACTCAAGGGTGTGGATTCTTTCGGAAATTTAAGTTGTGATAATACAATGACATCATAATATATACTTAGGACACTACATTCTGATAATACAATAACATTATAATATATACCCTATAGACCATGGGCGCCGTTAGGTCCGATCACTCATTGCTATTGTGCCGAATATTTTAAGGCGAGCCCCAAGTATTTTAGCCCTCTAAATAAATACACAGACAGATACACTGATAGATAGATAGAAGTCAGGCCACATGTAAACTTGATTTAGCCCCTGATATTTTCAATAGCTAGAAACGCCCCTGATCTTGACAGTTAATTCTGGTAAGACAATGGCATCATAACATAGACTATCCCGCACACTAAATTCTGACAATACAACGGCATCATAGCATACATTCTGGACACTCAATCTGGATAAGCTATTTTAAATACTAGGCTACCTCGAAGAAAGATAACCGAGTTTGAAAACAGATGGATGGTGCATTAAGAATCATATTTAATGAATACGGACTGAGCACAGCCATACAGTTTTCATTGAAGCATTGCATTTGTGTATTGCCACGGAAGATTCGTGAATTTTATTCTTCTCTCAAATGCGGCCTAATAGCGCCCCACAGCAGACACACGTTAACTTTTCCTCTGCATCGTACGTCGCATAGTGAAATCTGGGGTGAATACGGAGAGGTTACATGCAGCTCAGGGCTGTGAGATTGTGAGCACAAAAGGGTCCGCATTTAGCTCACTGCACGCTCTCCATTATGCGCTATAGACTCCAGTGCGGACGGAGTGGCAACATGTTTTCTGTAGTTTTTTTTTTTTTTTTTTAGCTTTTATTTCTTTTAAAAGAAATTGTTAAAAAAAATAAACTTTTTGAAAATCATAAACACGCTTTATTCATTTTAAAACGTTTGAATGTTTCAATGGGAATACATGCATGCCTGCCTCTTGCCAGTGCAGTTCTCTAATGAAAGCAGCCCTTTATCGCCCGTTTTAATCGCTCTCCGGTTCACGCCCAGCGCAGCTCTCCTAGCCGCTTCTCCTTGGAGGGGGCAAACGGCGTGATTCTCGGCAAGGCGTCTGCCGGTGGTCGTATTTTCACCGCACTCGCACAAACCCGAAGCGGCGATCCCGGCCACGCCAGGTGCCGCTTCCAGAGGGGAGGAGTCTACCGGCACAGGCACACCCCTCCGCGGCGAAGAGAAAGCTTAGCGACGGACATCGCGCTGCTGGCGCAACATGACGGCGGACTGTCGGCGCGCACTGGACACTTAACGCACGGAGAATTGCGCGTTATCACCGGCTGCCTGTGTCCCCCTGGCAGGGAGGGTGGCTCGCTCCGTTCTGTCTCCCCGTTTCTTGACGTTGCGTGGCGTCCTTCCCGTCGCGCTGGATCTTTCGTGTAAGAAGATGTGCGTGGAGAGCGACGGCTGCGAGCTAGAGGGCTGCGGCAGCTCGGACGAGGTGCGCACCCTGTCCGGCAGCATGAGCCCGACGCTCCGCTCCAGCCCCGATCTGCGCTCCTGTAGACCGGGGCAGAAATTCCGCGCGGCGCTGCTCAAGTGCAAGTCTCCGGTAGCGGCAGCCGGGATACTCAGCTTCGGAAATGTGCTTAATTACATGGACAGATACACAGTGGCAGGTAAGAGCGCCGTCCCTCCATCCATCCATTAAAGCAAGTCAGCCTTTATGATGACCGCGGGCCGGCTAAGGACAGGTGTCTGTGCTTATAAGACGTGATTTACTCATTTAAAATTTATGATCTCTTTCGTATTAACATCCTATTCTTAACCAGCAAATCGCCCTGTTCATAGTTGTTGCCCAAAATAGACATTTATAAACTCCCCGGTTCGATTTTAAATTCATAGCCTATTTCTTATATGCTTCGGGTTCTGATACGTTAGATTTTTTTATTTCTTTATCATTACCAGTAATTTTAATTTCACACTATTTTTGAATTACAGATAAACGGTAGCGGCTCGCAACGCTGTTCGACATTACTTTTCAAAATAAATCTGTAATACCCATTAAGTAACATTTGTCAATAACCCGGACCCAGCTGCTGCAATGCAATGGGCTTAACGTCCCCCAGGCATTAACACGAAAAACTGCAGTACAAGCTAACTACCAATTATATTAATTAATGTGCCCTCTGTGTTCCTTTTACGGTATAGCAATTATGCTTGCCATGCATAATAAGCATTATTTGGGTGTAATTAATGCATAATCACGTCCATATTGAACATTTAGGGCATTTCGTTATATATTTAAGCACTCTTACTATCAGTACGCTAAGTATCGCAAACTTCACTGGTGTCTGAGCGTCATACGCCAAGGAGCCTGTAGTAGTTATATGGATTATAAGCGGTTATTCCAGGGATTAATTCTGCCAGATAAGGATTACATTTAAACCAATGAAAAGAGCATAAACAACGATCGTATTAATAAAGGAGATGTGGCAGGGTTTTTAAAATTTTATTTTAGACAGCATGTACTGTACAGAGCGACACTGTTAAACTAGTCTCTGCAAGCTCTTCCACTGGGACAGTCTGAGGTCCGTATGACAGGTGCAAAAGAAATAATTAACTGGAAATACTTCACCAGTAAACAAAGACTACATTGACCTAAAAGAAATAGCATGAGCTGTTCTCAAAAGTAAATGAAAACGAGATATTTCCCTCTACCCACATTTCCGTGGCTCTGTGCAAAGTTTACACTTAATAATTGGTATGATATTTTTTCAGTACTCGCATATTCATGAATTTTGAAGGTACACCGCCAGTGAGAAAAATCGCCCACCTGAAGCAGTTCATCTGCAGTGATATCTGCTCGGACGGCTCCGTTTCCATAGAAACTAGACTACTGTTAACCATCAGTTCAGTGAAAAGTTATTTGATCTTTACAGAGACAGAGGCGTTATACACTTTGTAAATTAGTGCGGGTGGTGACTCCGCGTTAATATATATATATATATATATATATATATATATATATATATATATATATATATATATATATATATATATATATATATATAACAGATTAGGCCTATTTATTATATTCAAGTTTCTCAAATGCAGTTAAACATTTTTTATGGTAACGGTCATCAATTGACGAATTGCATCAAAAACTAATTTTTAGATTTTTATACTTGTCAAGGTGGCATTTTTGGGGTAGGCTGGTTGTCTAAATGTACACTTATATGATATCTGTGATGTTGTTAGGTGGAAAACAGTAAGCTTTGGGTAGGATGGTTGTGTATAATAGGGGTAATAAGGTATGATACTGAGTACGCATAAGGTATGGTGTATAAGAGGTAAAATATGGTATGGTACTTAGTGCATATTGAGTAGGGTGGTTGTGTATAATAGGGTTAATAATAGGGTCAATAAAGTATTATACGCATTGGGTAGGGTGGTCATCTATACCAGGGTATTCTAAGGTAGAATACTTAGTACGCATTTCACGTGGACTGAGTGAAGCCCCGTGCACTGCCGCAGGTTTTTGTCTCGCGCGCCGGCACGCGCCATACACGCGCTGCGGGGACTCCGCTGCAGTGAAGTGTTTTAAACGCTGCCCATGATTGCGGAACGATTTTCTTGTATTTCCATTACCTTTAAACGCACACACACACCGACAGCGCAAATGTCTTGGTTTGCCTGCACTAATAATTAAGATTTTAAGACTAATAATAATAAAGATTTTTTTTTGTGGCTCTCATCTTTTTTTGAACCGTCTGGAAATCAAAAATGCAAAAATGCGGCAGACAGCTGAGTAGCAGTTTAAAACGGTAGAAAAGATATTTGTGGAGTGCGAGAGTGAATTAAACATGCGGAGCCGGGAGAGTGTCGGGTTACAGTTACAAAGATAGACACAGTGGTGTGTTTCAGCCTGTCGTAATACCTCTTTTTAGATGCTCTACCACTACGCTGATGTGTTTATTGTATCTGTGTTGTTTGATTGAAAGGATTCCACATCGATAGGAAGAAGGGCGCGATCCTAATTTTACTTCATCAGTTGATGTCAATGAACCGCGGTCGCCCTTGCTTTAGCCTGGAAAACAGCCCATGACTGCATTTCTGCACAATCTCCCAACCAGGTGTGTCGAGGCGTTTTACTAGGTGCAGAAAGCCCAGCGGTGAGAGGAAGCCCACAGTGGGGGGTGGGGGGCTCTCACGGGGAGCCTGTGGCTAGTAGGATCCCCGCTGACACGCGCATGCATAATGCAAGCCTGCGAGTCCGTGCTGTGCAACGGCGCATCAGTAACGGGCGTCCCTCAGTCCCGGCCTCCGTGTCCCGCCGCAGTGGAGCCAGCATTCCTGTTGGATGCGGAGCCATGGCCGGCTGGCCAATCAGTAACGACTTGCGCGTTTGCAGTGAGCTGGAAGCTGGTTTGTGGGAAACCCCTGCCATTGTGTTGCCTAACAACCCATCTCCCTTATAAAATGGATTTTCTTTTGTGGGAAAGATCGAGCCGGCTGATCCAGGCTGTGTAGGGCTAGTGGATGTAATGTAATGTAATGCCTCCTTCAGTGAGCCACCCTCCTGGAGCTCTCCTGGCCCCTAGTGGCCATGTGGGAGGCCCACGCAACCCTCACCTGGCTGCAGTTCCATCTCTGGGGCTTGTGAGGGGCTTATCAGGGAGCTGCAGCCGCGCCCCCCCGCTTGCATTTGGCAGCCTGGAGCCCTCCGTGAGGACAGCCCACATGGTGCTGGGCTGTTTTTTTCCCACACAGTTATACTAACGGACTTCATCTGTATCTCCCCAGCAGAATTAGCATGGAATCAGGGCCTGCCACAGATCTCACACCATCACACGTTTGGCTGGTTACTAAAGAGGCAGCTTAATCATCGTACTGACGGAAAAAGCCAGACTGTAATCCTGTATTGGTGCCTTTTGCAGCCATTTACACCTTCCTAACCACGAAAATAATCATTTGACTCATTTTGCTAGCTAGAAATTGATAATTGTCCTGTATTACACCGATCCCTCTTTACATTACCTGAATCTTGTCATGTTGCACTTCTGGTCCTTGGGGATTTCACTGGCAGCTCAGCCTAGCTGCACCCGTCCCGGGGCATTCACTGGCAGCTCAGCCTAGCTGCACCCGTCCCTGGGCATTCACTGGCAGCTCAGCCTAGCTGCACCCGTCCCTGGGCATTCACTGGCAGCTCAGCCTAGCTGCACCCGTCC